GTAATGGAGGAGTGTGGTGGACGAAAAGCACGCTCGGGCTAGGCACAAGGCAAAAACGTGCCTAGTGTGAGTACACAGTGTAGTTATTCCCTGTTAGCAAGCTGGAAACAAATGTAACAATTTATTCTCTCTCAAACCTTGAAAGCCATACTCTAGCCAAGTACACAGTTGAAATACTGCAACATTTGTTAACTGCATTGCCTGGCAAAAAAATATTGCTGTTTGTGATCTTGGCAGGGCTGCCAGGATGGTGATCCAACTTTACCAATATGTAGTTACTTTGTACAACTTGGTCACCAACCTAGCCTAACTTGTCATCGAAGGAGCATCACCAAACCAATGAGACTATCACTCTGCTTCTTCCATCTGTCAGCAAGCTCCAGGCAGGACAATGCAGTGCACCAGAGCCTGCTTGGCTTGCACGGGTGATCTTTCTGCACTAATCTGTCCTACTTTTTAGGGCATTAGGGAAGCTAATATAAGGACATATTTAATTATCTATAAATACAATTGTGAATATGATATCAAACAGAAACCCTAAAAACCACTCTAATTTCTAATTAGAAAAAAACTTTCAACCCCTGAAAGTTTAAAATCAAATAAAATTATTCCAAAAAGAATCTCCCCTCTTTCAACAAATTCCCACCTATAATAAAAAAAAAACACACCCCCCTTGCAAGTGATAATTATTAAACAAACTGACAATGATCATAAAGTCTAGTGTCTTAGTAGTTCAAAAAACTCAATAAATCAAGGTGGAAAACTTGAAAATTTTCTTACAGTGTTGATTGTGTCCAATGGCTTTTGTGAAAACCTCCAACATAAAGAAACTCAAAATAGTGCATTAACGTAACATACAACAAAAAAAACCCAAAAAAAAAAAAAAAAAAAAAAAAAATATATATATATATATATATATATATATATATATATATATATATATATATTATATATCAAAAATATACAATACTAAGTGAAACAAAAACAGTGAAACACTCTTGAAAAAAAGGTTTATCACAACCGTTCTATTCAAGGCATGTCGTGATTGAAGATTGCCACAGCTTACCTAGCTCTCCGGTTCTTACCAGTACACTCACAAAAAGTGGAAGGGGAATCTGTTCTCTTCTGTTTAGGCAGATTGGATTGGTGGGTAGTCGGGTGTAAACGGACAGCGGAGTCTGTTTACATCCAGCTGCCCACAGAGCAGAGTGGATCGCCTGATGATTGGATGGAGTCCGCCCCGTCTGTAAGGGGCCTCACATGGACATAATTGATTGGAATTGTTTAAAGATAATATGTAGCAAAAGAAGGTAAAAAGTATTAGATAAAAACTTGTTGCTCACGCTTTTCATGCATGCTAAGACTACATTCACGCTTCTATGTTGTGGGAATGCACACACAATCACACTTCCCTTTTGCAAACGCACATTAATTCTAAATGCCCGCCCCCAAGCGTATGTGAATGCGTGCCAAACCACCAGCTGCAGCTCCATGCTGTTTTTTTTTTTTTTTTTTTTTAGCATTCTTTCACGTAGGGCAGGCCATTGAAATGCATAATCTGTCGCGCATGCGACACGTGAAAAACGCATGCACTCCCTTGCACCTGCTTGTTGTGTGTACAGAGTATAATGACAGAACAGATGATGCTCATGGTGAATATGAACTGGTCCTGTTGTGCTGTCCTGGGTGGGGATGAGTTTGAGAGACTGGCAGCTTCCTCTGAGGCTTCTCTCACAGATGTTTATCTTTGGGGAAAGTTTCAATGACTAAGGCAAAAAATTCCAAGAAAGGGCGGTTACCTATGGCAGTTTATGAGAATCTAAGTGTCACTATGGTAAACTGAAATGTGGCTGCCCCAGGTAGCTGCACCGACCATGAGTATTTTTTTTTTTTTTTTTCCCCTCATGCATACGGATGTCTAGAACAGTGTTTTTTTCCAACCCTGGAAAAGTATTTTCAGTCCTGAGGCATCCCTGTGCAAAATTGCACTCATTTGCAACATGCACTCAAGAGTGCCTTTAATTCTTAATGGTACTCCATGCATATGCAATGCATTTTCAGTGCGGTGCAATTTTAAAGAAAGAAAGGGTCAGGGACTTCTTTCTCACATAGATGTAAACCATGGGGGACAGTAAAACCATGCGGTTGGGCTGTGTTTTTACCACCCCACAATTGCTCCCCCTTTAGCTGTAGAGGTAGCAGCCATGGTTGTGGCAGGACCTACAGTGTCTTGAAAAAGTTTTAAGACCCCTTGAAATTTCCCATATTTGTCATGTTACAACCAAAAACATGAATGTATTTTATTGGGATTTTATGTGATAGACCAACACAAAGTGGCACATAATTGTCAAGTTTTTTAAAGATTAATATCTGAAAGGTGTGGCGTCCATTAGTATTCAGCCCCCTTTACACTGATACCCCTAATTAAATTCTAGTGGAATCAATTGCCTTCAGAGGTCACCTAATTAGTAAATAGAGTCCACCTGTGTGTAATGTAATCTCAGTATAAATACAGCTGTTCTGTGAAGCCCCCAGAGGTTTGTTAGCGAACATTAGTGAACAAACAGCATCATGAAGGCCAAGGAACACACCAGACAGGTCAGGGATAAAATTGTGGAGAAGTTTAAAGCAGGGTTAGGTTATAAAAAAAAATGTCCCAAGCTTTGAACATCTCACAGAACACTGTACAATCCATCATCCGGAAATGGAAAGAGTATGGCACAACTGCAAACCTACCAAGACATGGCCGTCCACCTAAGCTGACAGGCCGGGCAAGGAGAGCATTCATCAGAGAAGCAGCCAAGAGGCCCATGGTAACTCTGGAGGAGCTGCAGAGACTCACAGCTCAGGTGGGAATCTGTCCACGGGGCAACTATTAGTCGTGCGCTCCACAAATGTGGCCTTTATGGAAGAGCGGCAAGAAGAAAGACATTGTTGAAAGAAAGCCATAAGAAGTCCTGTTTGCACTTTACGAGAAGCCATGTGGGGGACACAGCAAACATGTGGAAGAAGGTGCTCTGGTCAGATGAGACCAAAATGTAACTTTTTGGCCTAAAAGTAAAACGCTATGGAAACTGAAAACGGTAAGCTAACACTGCACATCACCCTGAACCTACCATCCTCACCGTGAAACATGGTGGTGGCAGCATCATGTTGTGGGGATGCTTTTCTTCAGCAGGGATAGGGAAGCTGGTCAGAGTTGATGGGAAGATGGATGGAGCCAAATACAAGGCAATCTTAGAAGAAAACCTGTTAAGAGTCTGCAAAAAGACCTGAGACTGGGGTGGAGGTTCACCTTCCAGCAGGACAACGACCCGAAACATCCAGCCAGAACTACAATGGAATGGTTTAGATCAAAGCATATTCATGTGTTAGAATGGCCCAGTCAAAGTTCAGACCTAAATCCAATTGAGAATCTGTGGCAAGACTTGAAAATTGCTGTTCACAGACGCTCTCCATCCAATCTGACAGAGCTTGAGTGATTCTGCAAAGAAGAATGGGAAAAACTTCACTCTCTAGATGTGCAAAGCTGGTAGAGACATCCCCAAAAAGACTTGCAGCAGGAATTGCAGAGAAAGGAGGTCCTACAAAGTATTGACTCCGGGGGGGCTGAATACAAATGCCGCCACACTTTTCACAGGTTTATTTATAAAAAATTTTGAAAACCATTTATCATTCTCCCTTCCACTTAACAATTCTGTGCCACTTTGTGTTGGTCTATCACATAAAATCCCAACAAAATATATTGACGGTTATGGTTGTGACCTGACAAAATGTCAAAATTTCAAGGGGTATGAATACTTTTTCAAGACACTGTATAACCCCAAGTGAATAGGGCCATGTTTCAACCACTACATTGCACACAGTTGCACAGTGAGGCTTCATTTGGGGTTTAAAAACAGGAGGTGAGGAGGCGGCATATCTCCTCTTCACCACCTGTCAAATGCCTCCTGAAAAGCAATCCAAACAATAGCTTTTTATAGGACTGACAACCCTTGCCACTCTTGTGAACGAGCCCTAAAAAAGTAGTTTTGATCATACAGGATTAGGGGTCAAGATTAAAATAATGTAAATACATACATACACAGACACACTCACACAAATACATGGCACTGCACTGTAAGAGGAGGCAAAGAGGCCCAGGAATATGTTTCCTCCCTTCCCCTGTTATGCACTTGCCATCAGACCGAGCTCCCTATGCACCAATGTACAGTTCAGCAGAGGAGCAGGAGCTCGGCTTGACATGAGTACTTTTTCTCAACCAGGATGGGTGCCGAAGCCCCTCGGTTGAAAAAGACTGGTCTAGAGTTTGCAAAGTTTTCTACTGTAAAATCCCAGGCCTCTCCATGTGCCTGGGATTTTACAGCCCACACAAGTGAATGGATGTATGTGGCTATACTAGTGTAAACACAGATGACTTGTGGAATATGCTGTATGCGCATGCGTGGGTCAATGCTGATGCACAAGCCATTGACATCACATGGGTATAACCGCACACAGCCATTCGCTTGGGTGGTTGCATGTGCCACCTTTGCTTCCCCGGCACCAGAAAGCACCAGGCATTTTAAGCTAGAGGACTTTGCAGCCATGTGCATGAGGCCTTTCACTGTCTCATTAGAGCATTGCTGTTTTAGTACTGGTATCTCGTCTGAAATAATTTAAGCTGGCCATAGATGGTTCACATCTTGGCTGGTTCAACAGGGACCGGGTCGAGATTTGAACCATCTATAGGCCGGCTGATTGTACTCAATTCAGTTGTTGTACGACTTGGGTACAACCAGCATGTTGAATTTTTACTTGCGATTATTGCCAGGGGCTATAGCTGCTAGCAGTCATCACTGTGTTCTCCTGGGAGGGACAGCTCCCTCCACCAATAGAACACAATGGCTCTGCAGGAGGGATTCTCCTATCAACACTGATTGTGTTGATGGGAGAATTAAACGATTTTCTTTCTCGCAACCTATGGAGGAAAGAATTTCGTACTGTATCGTCTATGGCACAGGTGTCAAACTGGCGGCCCTCCAGCTGTTGCCAAACTACAAGTCCCATGAGGCATTGCAAGATTGACAGATACAAGCATGACTCCCAAAGGCAGAGGCATGAAGGGACTTGTAGTTACACAACAACTGGAGAGAACAATGCTAACTGATAACTTCCTGCGTTCTCTCTGGATTACTATCAGCTCTTGAGATTTCAGGTTGGATGCTTTTTAGCTGCCATACCTCCTATGCTGTCTCCCAGTTTCTGGGTGTGCATGGCAATATCACATGAGTCCTGAACCAGTGGTCACTGTCACTAGGACTGATAGTGATGAGAAACAAGAATTTGTATTATCACAACAGAAATAGATGGGAAAGGTTCAGATGGGGACCCTTGTTCTGGCCCCTTGTTTCTGATAACTGTCAGACAGGGATTGCTCTCACATTGGAGGTTATTCCTCTAAATCACAGGTGTCAAACTGGCGGCCCTCCAGCTGTTGCCAAACTTGAAGTCCCATGAGGCATTGCAAGATTGACAGATACAAGCATGACTCCCAAAGGCAGAGGCATGATGGGACTTGTAGTTACACAACAACTGGAGGGCCGCCAGTTCGACACCCCTGGTCTATGGCCTGCCTTAGACAAGAGATAGAAATCCCTTGTTATTCTGAGGACATCCTGTGGGCATCAGGCTATATGAGGATGGATAGCGATCCAGCCAACGCAAGTAGGTAGTGATGACTTTGCTGCATGTTTTAAGCCCCATTCTCTGCAGTAGTCACCAACAATGAGATTGTGCAGTCACTTGAGGGGGTGGGAACTTGTGAGTAGAAAAGCGTAGGTGTAATTGTAGGAGATTGTCTGGGTGCTTCGGTCTTCTCGAGAGTCACCGTGAGCATGAAGATTTGTGTACTTGGTTTGTTTGTGGTCACCGATAAAGGGCACCTGTACAGTAGAAATAAACATATTCCTAAAAAAGGGAGAGAATGGGGGTTAGTCACTGTTTTTTCAATCGATACAGTATAACATATACTGTATATATTATACTCTGTGTGTGTGTGTGTGTGTGTGTGTGTGTGTGTGTGTGTGTGTGTGTGTATATATATATATATATATATAATATATATATATATATATATATATATATATATATATATATGTATGTATGTTAGGTTCATATATATTTGGACACAGGCAGAATATTAATTTTTTTTTAGGTATTTACCAAAACATATTCAAGCTATAGTTATATAATGGGCTGAAAGAGCACACTCTTAGATTTAATTTGAGGGTATGTACATCCAAATTGGAGGAAGGGTTTAGGAATTACAGCTCTTAAAAATAGCCATCCCCCTTTTTCAAGGGACCAAAGGTAATTGGACAATTGAATCAAAAGCTGTTTCATGGCCAGGTGTGGGCTACTCCTTCATTTTTTCTTCATCAGTTAAGTAGGTAAAAGGTCTGGAGTTAATCCTAAGTATGGTTTTGCATTTGGAATCTATTGCTGTGAACCTACATCATGCGTTTAAAGGAGCTGTCCATGCAAGTGAAACAGGCCATTGTAAGGCTTCAAAAATTTAAACTAATCCATCAGAGAGATTGCAGCAACATTAGGAGTGGCCAGATCAACAGTTTGGTACATTCTGAGGAAAGAAGAACGCACTGGTGAGCTCAGCAACATAAAAAGGCATGGATGTCCATGGAAGATAACAGTGGTTGATGATCCCAGGATTCTCTCTATGGTAAACAAAAATCCATTCACAACATCCAGACAAGTGAAGGACACTCTCCAGGAGGTGGGCGTATCATTGTCAAAGTCTGTAATCAAGAGAAGACTTCACGAGAGCAAATACAGAGGGTTCACCACAAGGTGCAAAACCATTCGTAAGCCTGAAGAATAGAAGAGCCAGATTAGACTTTGCCAAAAAACATCTAAAAAAGCCAGAATGACAGGAAGAAAAAAAGTGTGGAGAAAGCTTGGAACAGCTCATGATCCAAAGCACACAACGTCATCTGTAAAACATGATGGAAGCAGTGTGATGGCATGGGCATACATGGCTTCCAGTGGCAATGGGTCATTGGTGTTTATTGATGATGTGACAGAAGCAGCCGGATGATTTTTGCTGTGTTTTACAGATATACTGTCAGCCCAGATTCAGCCAAATGCAGCAAAGTTGATTGGATGGCACGTCACAGTACAGATGTACAATGATCCAAAACACACTGCAAAAGCAACCCAGGAGCTTTTGAAGGAAAAAAAGTGGAATATTCTGCAATGGCAGAGTCAATCACCTGATCTCAATCCAATTGAGCATGCATTTCACTTGCTGAAGGCAAAACTAAAGACCCACAAACAAAGAACAACTGAAGACAGCTGCAGTTAGAGCCTGGAAAAGCATCAGAAAGGAGGAAACCCAGTGTTTGGTAATGTCCATGGGTTCCAGACTTCAGGCAGTCATTGCCAGTAAAGGATTCTCAACAAAATATTCAAAATGAACATTTTATTTATAATTCTATTACTTTGTCCAATTACATTTGAGCACCTGAAAATGGGGGGATTGTGTATAAAAATGGTTGCAGTTCCTAAAATTTGTACTTGATATTTATGTTCAACCCCTTGAATTAAAGCTGAAAGTCTGCACTTCAAATTCATTTGGATTGTTTTATTTTAATTTATTCTGGTAGCATACAGAGCCAAAAGTATGAAAATTGTGCCTGTGTCCAAATATATATGTATTTAATTGTGTGTGTGTATATATATATATATATATATATATATATATGTGTGTGTGTGTGTGTGTGTGTATATGTATATGTATATGTATATATATATATATATATATATATATATATATATAGTGTATGTATGTTTTCTACTTAAAGTGGTTGTAAAGGCTCAAGGTTTTTTACCTTCATGCTTTCTGTGCATGAAGATAAAGAAAAAAACTTCTGTGTGCAGCAGTGCCCCCCCGCACCCTCAATACTTACCTGAGCCTCATCGCAATCCAGTGACATGTATTGTTTCGGGTCTCTGCCTCCAGATTGGCTCCCGCTGCTGTCAATCACAGCCAGTCAACCAATGAGGAGAGAGAGGGATACACAGAGCAGCGGGTGCCCCCATAGCAAGCTGCTTGTTGTGGGGGCACATGACAGGAGGGAGAGGCCAAGAGAGCCTGCGGGGGACCCGAGAAGAGGAGGATCCAGGCTGCTGTGTGCAAAACCACTGCACACAGTAGGTAAGTATAGACATGTTTAATATTTTCCAAAAATAGAAAATCAACCTTTTAGAATCACTTTAAAGCGGAGCTCAAGTCAAACCTAAAAAAAAAATGTTAGAAGCACAAAAAAAAAATTGTAGCTGCTGACTTTTAAAAAAGAGACACTCACCTGTTCCACGATCCAGTGGTGTACTCCCTGTCATTGGTTTCACTGGCTGTCCTCACTCCCCGATGCCAGCATACGAAGTGTGAGCACCAGGCTGGTGCCGGGTGCCCACTGCGCATACGCGAGTGGTGCTGTGCCTTGTGAATGGTCCCGTAGTCTTCGTGACAGGTCCCAGAAGACTACGGGGGGTGGGGGGAGGACAACATCAGCTTTGCAGTGGAAGTGGGGGAGCAGTTACCAGTCAAAATTGGGTACCCCGCTCCCCAAAGGTGCAGTACTCTGGTCGTTGGTTCGAATCCCAGCCACGGCACCACCTGCCTGGAGTTTGCATGTTCTTCCTGTGCCTACGTGGGTTTCCTGCAGGTACTCCGGTTTCCTCCCACACTCCAAAGACATGCTGGTAGGTGAATTGGCTCCTGTCTAAATTGTCCCTAGTATGTGTATGTATGAATGTGAGTTAGGGACCTTAGATTGTACATCCCTTGAGGGTTAGGGACTGATGTGTGAATGTACAATATATATGTAAAGCGCTGCGTAAATTGATGGCTCTATATAAGTACCTGAAATAAATAAATTTTTCACGGGGTGAAGGAAACCAGTGCTTAAAGTGGAGCTTCCCCTTTTGGGTGGAGCTTTGCTTTAAGGCTTCCTTTCAGGACTGCTGAGAGTCTTGGCAGATACCTTCTCTGAAGTCTGACAATTCAGCCTTGCAATCTGCCTGGCCTCATGCTAATAACGTGCTCTGACTCCCAGCTCCTGAGTGTACACATCAGTGCACAAGTCTATAGGCAGACGTGTAATAAGCAAAGTGGAATTTCTGCCTTGCAGCACTGGGGTTCTTGGTTTAAATCTCAACCAGGTCACTACCTGCATGGAGTTTGCATGCTGTCCCTGTGCTTCTGTGGGTTTCCTATGGGTACTCTAGTTTTTCTCCCACACTCCAAAGACATGCTAGTAGGTTAATTGGCTCCTATATGTATTGGCCCTAGTATGTGTACTGTATGTATGCATGTGAGGTAGGGTCCTTAGATTGTAAGCTCCTTGAGGACAGGAGCGATGTGAATGTACAGAATGTAAATGGTTGCGTCAATTGTCAGCCTTATATAAATACTTCTGATGATAAAAAGATTGTTGACCTCTAGTGAGCTGGCTGGCTGTCATGCTGATCTAGTACAGTCAATACATTTTCCGCTTAATACTGCGAATCGCTTATGAAAAATGCAGATTATACCTCACTTGCTGCTTGCTAGTTACCGGCCAGCGACTCTGAAAGTACTCAAACCAGAGTTGGGCAAATGGCATGTGCAAAGAAAGCTTGAAGTGGACTTCCAGACGTTTTTGTGTTTGTTAAAAGTCAGCAGCTAAAAAAACTGTCTCTGCCGACTTTCAATAAACACACACTTACCTGTCCAGCGATGTACTCACCTGCACCGTCCCTTCTCTCCTTCTGTTCTCCACGGCACCGGCATCTCTACTGTGAGCACCAGGCTGTGACAGCTTGCGGCTCACAGCCTGGTGCCCCCTGCGCATGCGTGAGTCACGCCGTGCCTCCTGATTGGTCTGGCAGTCTCCTGGGACCTGTGAAAGTTCCCATGAGACTGTGGAAGCAAGGAAGGGGGCTGAACTTCTGGTTCACTTTGCTGTGGCGAACTGAGCCGGAAGTGGGAGCGATTACCTGTCAAAACCAGGTACCCGCTCTCTCCTCCCGAAAAAGGTGCCAAATATGGCAATGGAGGGGGGGGGGAGGAGGCAAATAAGTGGAACTCCGCTTTAAAGTGTAACTAAAGGCAAATCCTTTCTTTTTTTTTTTTTGGATAGAGTAAGGAAGGCGTATAACCCCTCTCATATACTGTTTATTTTTTGCCATCTGTGTCCTATTAGGGAGGTTTCCCTTCATTTCCTGTTCCATTGCTAGGGGCTAGTTTATACTAACATTGCTCTCTGAAGAGCTATCTGCATTCGGATCGCTCCTCAGAGAGCATTTGACAGGTGGTGAGGAGGAGTTGTATTGCCTCTTCCCTGCTTTTTTTTTTTTTTTTTTTTTTTTTTTTAACCTTTTTAAACCCTGCACTAGCACGTCCCAACCACATGCATTGCACTTGATTTTTATGCACCCCCTTTCGGTTGAATGGGTCTCATTTA